GTGTTCACTTGCGCAATGACTTGTTTTTCCAAGCGTCGTGCATTTAATGTCGCCTCGTTATAATCGTTAATTTATTAATGGACAAATTTGAATACATAAGTAGTGTTGTTGTGTCCTTTATTGTTGCGATAAATGCAGATTAAATCATTTCAGTTCTAGTTTTGAACATTTCTTCTCATCAGTACCTGCCAAACATAATTGTTTCATGTCATGCATTTAATGTAGCTGGCGCCACGAAGACCAAAATTAAACTTGACAGTCTGATCCATTAATCGTATTTACCGAATACCCGACAATTCCACACAAAATAACATTGCTTTTCTCGAATTATTCCGGATAGTAGTGATATAACTCTTCGTTTTGAAAGTATTCAAATGTTCTCAAACTCATTAGTAAACTCTCTGAAGACACTGGATCTCAGGTTCTAGTATTGATTCATGAGCAAAACACAAAGGAAGCCAACATTCTATCGTTGTCTTCATATCCCGGTATAATTAACGCCCATAAATTAGCTCATCTAACGCCGAAAATATCTCTTATAATACAAGTCCATTCATAGGCGTACCGGGCGGGGGGGGGGCGGGGAGAGGGGAGGGTGGTAGCCCCCCCCCCAGTTTGTTGGGCAGTCGGGCAATATTCGATCAGCAGTCGGGCAATTTTGGTTTGTTATAAAAATAAATGGAACAAATTCTGTCAATTTTGTCGGAAATTCAGTCAATTTTGTGGTAAATTTTGTGTTGTTTGGAAAAATTGTGTGATGTTCGGGAAAAATTGGGTATGTCCGGAAAATTTTTTGACCCCTAAAATGGTACACTGACCGAAAAAAATAATTCACCAAAATAATTTTTCCGGAAAAAAATCTTTCCGCCCCTCTAATTTTTTCCTTCCGGTACGCCCATGAGTCCATTTCATACAGCAGTTTATAGAACACCTCGAAGTATGCGAAACAACTAACCTTGCGCCGCGTTTTGAAAACACATTTCGTTTCCATGCAGAATACCAAACAATGATAACAAATATCTATACCATATTCCACAACTCATAAGGCGATTGATTAATCACACAGTCACTAATCCCGAGGACGGCTTTGCTCCCTCGACTTGTATAGGACGTCGTTTCCTGCTGGGATCTCAGTGTTGCTTAGAAAAACATAAGAAAACATATTTTTCTAACGTATATCGTTTATTACGTAATACTTAACGAAGTTGGCTGAGTTAAACTGATTACGTTCCTCCGCATGTGGTAACACTGGACAAATTAACAATTAGACAACGAGGCGAGTATTCAACGATGGCGTAGCCTGCGGGGGCCGCAGGGGGGGGGGCAACGGGGGTAAGTGGCCCCCCTTTTTTAAAAGCAAAAAAGTGCCCTTTTTTCTGGGCTGAAGTGCCCCATTTACAGAACGAGAAAAGTATGTCTTGAATAAACGCCCTCTTTTGCAGGAACAAAAGTGCCAATGCGCATCTGCTTCATTCTGCTCTTCGCTTTGGTAGCGCAAAGTCGTCGTGTATTTTAAAGTCAAGTTTTTCCATCAGGTAAATTTTCTTTCATTTTATATCTGAAAGTTGTAATGTCTGGGTGTGTTCCAACTATTTTATTTCTCGGGCATTCCTTTGTCCGTCGTTTAATTATGGTGCACTATATTATATACTCTTTTATATTTTGCCGCTATGTATGTGGTTGCCGTTTATGTACCACTACTATATGTTTATGTTATATGGGCTAGAGCAATATGACTGTTTTCAGATGCCCACGTTGAGACTTCAACATTGTTTTTTTTCTACACAGGACATATTCATGATTTGCGCTGGTTATATATACGTACAATTCGCAGCTTCTTTAATAGTTCATGTATCTGTTTTGTTTCATGTGTGTGGAGTGTTCTTGTAGTTTCCTTGTGTTGTATATAAGATGTCTTTTCTATAGTTATAGGTATATATGACTTGCCGATCCTGTGTCAAGGAAAAAATGCATGTCTAAGTGGGATAGAGCAATTATTGTTTTCAGATGCCCACAGTTGTTGTCAATATATTGTGGGACGCTGCGGCATGTTGTTTTCAGATTGCCCTTGTATATTATTTTTTGTGGCGTTAAAGGATAATCAATTGCGGCTACCTTCGCTGTATGCCATGACTATTCTGCTGCTTATATGTTGTTTTATTTGTCACCGTTGCATGAATATGTAAATGGTTGTGCAATATGACGTCTGTTATTTTCCAAAATTCCTCTTGTCTAATATTCCAGGGCCTGATGTGGCCCCCGTTAAGCAAAGTCTTCGGTCTTTAGTTTTTTCATTCAGAATGCCTGCTACTCGACCTAGCACAAGAGTTCAACGTCGTGCACAACCAGCAGCACCACGTCGTCCATCCTCTCGGAGAAGAACAGCAACCGCCAGTGCCACCACTATGCAGCAACCAGAGTCAAGGGGAGTTAGTTGTGAGGCGTCTTCCTCCGTGACCACAACGTCAGCACCTGATGCAGCATCGCCAGCGACGACTGTTCCTAACGAAACGGTTCAACGGATCGTCTCCGCCGTCTCCCAAGCTGTGCTAGCGTCACTCAATGGAGCCTGCGCCACTACTCTTCCGCCGCCATCTTCAGCTGTGGAAACGAGGGAATTGCCTATGGTAGCGTCAGGTATAGCTAGTTTTGCAGACGCTACTATGCAGGGTAGCGTCTGCCTTAAATAATCTTTCAGGTGAGACTAGTTTTATCCAAGTCTCACCGCCTGTAGAGCCGGGTCTGCCTAAATTTAATTCCATCAATGTACCCATTGATGCGAATGTAAGCGCAAAAGTTAAGGCCAAGATTTGGTCTCACGAATTCGTCGATTTTGGTGTTTTAATTAGCTCAGGGGCAGGTGATACCCGGTATCACTTGTCTGTGAGCTCCCAAAACGGTTCAGCTTTGCCGACGTTGTCTTTGGAACCGTCCCAAAAGCCAAAAGCCATTGCTAACATTGGTGCATGGACTTCGGCTTTTCAAATTTTTGTGGGGGTGTACACTGCCAAATATCCAATGGAGGCCGCAGCATTGATGAAATATAGTGAAGTTGTCCGGGATTTGGCCGTGCGAGGGGCTGACTGGCGCTTTTATGACTCACAATTTCGTCTCTTGCGTCAATCTAATCCGACCGAGTTGCCATGGGGGTTTACACATTGGGAACTTTGGATCCGTGCACAGAATTTTAATAATGCGCGTTTTACAAAATCTCAACCGCCTGTGCGCAACAACTTGTCCTCTTCAATTGCCGGGCCCTTTGTTTCCAGGGGGTTTTGTCGCAGGTTTCACCGTGGCGATCACTGCCCTGGTTGCAATTATAAACATAATTGTTACAAGTGTGGTGTAATTCACCCAGCCCTACGGTGTAATTTTCGTTCCTCACAGCACACCTCTGCCCCGACCTCGGCCAAATCTCGTCCTTCCAACACCGGTTCGAATTGATAATCTTCAACCTTTATTATGTGGATATGATCCGGGATTGACATCTATTTTGTATACTGGCTTTAAGTTTGGTTTTTCTCTTCATTTTGAAGGAACGCGAACCTCATTTTTTGCAAATAATTTAATTTCTGCGCAACAAAATCCTGAGATAGTTAATGCTAAACTCTCGAAAGAATTGGCAGCCGGTCGACCTGCCGGGCCTTTCGATTTCCCGCCTTTTCCCAAATTTCGTGTTTCACCCTTGGGGGTTGTTCCTAAGAAAGCCCTGGGGGAATATCGCTTAATTCATCATTTGTCTTTTCCCAGAGGTGATTCGGTTAATGATGGGATTGCACAAGAGCATGCGTCAGTACAGTATGCTCGTGTTGATGATGCGGTTGCTATGATAAAAAAATTAGGTTCTGGTTGTTTTCTTGCCAAAACCGATATTAAGAGTGCATTTCGCATTATCCCAATCAAACCATTTGATTACGATCTTTTAGGAATTTTTTTGGCAGGGACAGTATTATTATGATCGTGCTATGCCAATGGGATGTGCGTCATCCTGTCGTACTTTTGAGATGTTTAGCACTGCTATCGAATGGGTTGCTAAGAAACACTTGTCAATCCCGTATTTAATCCACATTCTTGATGATTATCTTATGGCAGCGCCTACTTATCACCAATGTCGCATTGACCTTGCTCGTTTCTTATCTCTCTGCGATTACTTAGGCGTACGCGTACCAATGGCGCCAGCGAAAACAGTCGGTCCGGAAAATATCCTTTCGTTCGCAGGCATTGAATTAGATAGTTTACGCATGGAGGCCCGTTTGCCTCTGGACAAAACTGAGAAATGCAAAATTTTAGTTTCAGCCTTTCTTCGACGCAAAAAAGTTACTTTACGCGAGATTCAATCATTGACGGGTTTACTTAATTTTGCGTGCTCAGTCGTTGTCCCGGGTCGGGCTTTTCTGCGTCGTCTGATCGATTTAACGAAGTGAATAAAATCTGCGCATCATTTTATCCGTCTTACCAAATCGGTAAAAGCGGATCTCGAAATTTGGCGTTCCTTTTTAGATGATTTTAACGGCCGATCGTTTTTTCTTAGCGACGTATGGACTGATTCGTTCAGTTTAAATCTCTACACTGATTCAGCTGGTAGTTTGGGTTACGGTGCGGTCTTTGGCTGCGAGTGGCTTTTTGGCCAGTGGCCTGAAAATTGGAAGCGACTTAATATCACTATTTTGGAATTTTACCCAATTGTACTCAGTGTTTTTGTATGGGGAGATAAGATGCGCAACAAGCGGATCACGTTTTATACGGATAATGCGGCGTTGGTTGATATTATAAATAAAGCCACTTCTCGTGACGTGACTGTCATGATATTTGTTCGCCGACTGGTGCTGGCATGTTTGAAGTACAATATTTTATTTCGTGCTCGCCATGTTCCGGGAGTTAAAAACGTTTTAGCTGATAGTTTATCCCGGTTACAGGTTTCGAAGTTCAAACAGCTATCTCCAGTGGGTGTACAACCATCACCAGCAGTTATACCAGATCAACTACTACCACACAACTGCCCAATATAACATCTAAATTACTTCAATCTAGTTTACAGCCATCATCAATCCCTACTTATCGCCGGGCCTGGAACCTGTATAGCCAGTTTTCAAATGTAGTTTTCCATACAGCTTTAGTAAATTTGCCCATATCGCCTTCTAATTTAGGTTTGTTTATAGCCTACATGTTTCAGCGCAATTATGCTGCTTCGACTGCGAACACGTATGTCTCTGCACTGGGTTATTATCATCGCCTTGCAGGCGTGCCAGACCCAACTAGGGTCTTTTGGGTGATTGAAATGTTGAAAGGGTATGGCAAACTTGGGTCGCGCTTGGATACACGCATGCCCATAACTCTTTCTATCCTTCGCACGGTGTTGCAACAAACATCAACCATATGTGCGAGCGAATACCGTGCGTGTATGTTTAAAGCAATGTGTACAACGGCATTTTTTGCCTTTTTACGTGTTGGGGAAATCACTTGTTGTCCCAGGTCATCGAGTGTGCTTCAGTTAAATCAGATTGTCCAACTTGTCGACCATTCAGGCGGCGTAATTGGACTGAAAATCACATTTTTTTATTTTAAGCATTCTTACAACCAAACAAATGTATCAATCACTCTTAAGCGTCGTTCAGATATATGCCCAGTGCAGAGCTTACTGGATTATTTTTCACGCCGTGGTTTGTCGGATGGCCCGCTTTTTCGAACGCACGAGGGCCACGCGGTTTCACGCAAACTTTTTACTGACTATTTAGCACTCATTTTCAAGACATGTGGTCTCGATCCAACTAAATACAAAGGACATAGTTTCCGCATTGGCGCGGCAACATTTGCTGTGGAATGCGGTTTTTCTGATGCCCAAATTCGATCAATGGGTCGGTGGAAATCCGACGCCTTTCGTAAGTATATTCGAGGTCCAGGCCTGTGCTCAACTGCTTTGCCTAGATAGGCCGAGTTTGGTTGTTTGTCTTTTTTCACCGGATTGATCATGGCTGTCAATAATATTAATATTTTGGCAAACTCCGCTTCCGTGCACATCTGACTGGTCAAGTTGACGCAGGGGCAAGACTTGACTACAATGATTATTATGATGCACGTTACTATATGCGACATACTGCTTTAGAGTGTTCTGTGATGCAGGGGCAAGGCTATCAGAACACTTTTGTCTTGTCGGTGGTGGTTATACCTGGCAGTTCAACGCAGGGGCACGAATTGTTTGGGTATAGCTAACACCCCCTTTTATATTATGAGCAGTTTAATTAATATTTGCCAATACTATCACTCAATTTTGTAGAATTGTTGCTTGCTTGTTTCATCGGTCTGTAATCACTTTATCTGTCGATGCCTTGTCACGCTGGGGTGGGGTATGTCTTCTTTACCCAAGTAGACTTGTGGCGTTTTTACCCCCACCTTTTCTGTGCTAACTGTTAATGAATTACTTTGGTTAATAATTTGTTATGTTAAAGTTATGTCATTGATTACAAAATTAATAAACCGGCATGTGCGTTATGCAATACGCACATTGCCATAATTATTCCAAGTGGTGTCTGACTCGTTTATTGCGCGTAAAGAACATGCACAGAAAACAGAGCTCATCGTGACAAGATATCCCCCAGATATAGTGTTAAATAAAGGAAGCGATAAATATATATATATTAAGAATGATGCTTTGTGTTTATTTACTCTCAAAATAAGGGGTTTGGTCACTTCCACTGTTGTAGTTTGCTGTAATTTACTTCTGCTGTAATTTACTTCTGCTTGTATCTGCAAATATCACAAATATATTTCATTTTTGCTCGCATTTTTGCAAGATTTTGTAAATTTCAAGAAAGAAAGGGCGAAAGAATCGGCTAAAAGAAGTGAGCCAGTAAGGTAAGTTTGTTTTAAATATTGATTTTATAATGGATTTAATTTAAAACCCGACAGCCTTTGCATATATGAAACGACTAAACAAGACAGCATATTATTTCAGTGTATCTTTAGTAATATTGATTCCCTTTTTTATGATATTGAATTTTTTAAATAAAAAAGAAAGCAGAGTTATTTGCAAGTGAGAATTTGAAGTCATTTTATTGCAAACTCAAAGTTTATCGATAAAGCCATTTTAAAAGGCAGTTTATAAAGAACACTAGTGACTTTAAAACGTTTTGCGAAGCGTTTGTGGTTGAATTTTACCTTAAATTGAGGCTTATATTACGTATAATAACATACCTAACATATATATGTTGGGAAATTAATAATTTTGTAATTAAAAGTGATATTTTTTAGGCGATTTTTCATTTGTAAGAATATTCTTAAAAAATTATCGTGTTACCATGACAACTACTTCAGGTACTTCATGTTTGGAAAATACAATGGTTTTGTCTGTTTGTCAGCAAGGCGAGGGTTTCTGCATGCATGTATTTTCTAGTTTAGTATTAATGCAGTGGTTGCTGAATTATGGGTGAATGTGGTGATAAAATTTAAATTTGCACATTTGATGTGTTGACTTGCAGTATAAAGTAACTAAAAATACATCCTTTGTTTATATTATCATATGAAATCACATGAAATCTAAATTTTATCACAGTATTTGCTTATAATTTGGAAGGGTTCATATATTTAATTTCATAGTATGTAATACTGACCGTAAACCTCCGAATATAAGCCCCCCCCCCCATGTATAACATTACTGCATGTACTAATGCTCATCTCATTCCAAATGAATATAAGACATTGTCTTTATAGCTTGCTATATTAATCAAAGCACATTATTAATACATGTTTATTTTCCTGTTTATGACTGACTTGTTTATTACTAACACAAACGATTGTCCATGTATAAGCCCTCCCCCTTATATATACTTTTTTATATAAACCCATAAAAATCGCTTATGAAAGAATATAAGGCCAGGGCTTATAGTTGGAGGTTTACGGTATGATCAAATTTTACAGTTGGTATATGAACCAAATCAACGGAAGCAAAATGGGGTAAACAGACAGTATGCTAAAAGTATTAGTAAAAAGGTTAGTTTTTACAACAGTGTATGTGTAGTGTATTTGTATGTTGATTTATTATTCTCCATGATGAATAAAATTAGCAAGCATCATAGTCATAGCAGGGCTTTCTTACAATTAAGCAACTGATCACTAGATGCTGCAGGATTTATGTCAACAAATAGATTTTGAAATCTGCTGTGTTGGTGTAATGTACTCAGGTGAATAAGATGTTTGTGTGTTGTCACTCTGAGTGTGTATCCACACTGGGCAGGCTTGAAAAATATGCCTGGCCACGGCAGGATTCGAACCTACGACCTTTGGAATACTAGCCCAATGCTCTTCCAACGGACAAACATCTTATTCACCTGAGTACATTACACCAACACAGCAGATTTCATGATTATTAGATTACACTGATGTCGAAGGAACTAGACTCAGTTCCAAAATATCGCATACTCGAACCGTCCTGACCGCGTAGCTCAGTTGGAAGAGCATTGGGCTAGTATTCCAAAGGTCGTAGGTTCGAATCCCGCCGTGGCCAGGCATATTTTTCAAGCCTGCCCGACACACTCAGAGTAACAACACACAAATAGATTTTGTTTGAATTCTGTAACTAATTATTGCCTGTAACTGCTTCCCTTGTCATGCATCTAATGCAGACAATTTTGTTTCCCCATTTAATTTTTAGTGAAATAACTCATTGATTCACAACAGCAAAGTCTATTTTTGTTGATGCTGTACCTCCCTCAAAATATAGTAAATCTTTAGTTTAATTAAACAGTGGCAGGTACAGAATAATAAGACTGCTTTACCTAGGATCAACATCACTTTAACATCAGGCATTTAATGTGTCCAGAAACCTAGATCGGTACTAGCAGTACCAGGTCAAGTTCATTGCTGAAAGCTTATGCTAAACTTTTTGGGAATAAGGCAAAGTTTTTGTGTTTTAATTAAACTTAGTTTTTAAAATTTCATTTTTTTTCAGATTAAAGGTGGCATACAAAAACTAAAATTCCAGTCATGTTGATGACCTACAGAAATAATTCTGTGCTGTATGTATGAATGTATGTATGTAGAATGATTACTGTAATGTGAAACAACTTGCATGATATGAGTCATGTTGTTTGAGTCATAGGGTTGCAGGGCTCAAGATTAGTGGTATCCCGATATCCACGGGATACCAGATTTCAATTTTGGATACTATAGATATCATAGGCTTAGTATCTCAACGGGATACTAAAAAAATCGAACTATTGGTGAAAATGATGCGCAATTTTTGGGACAAGATTTGCCTATGAATCACATGTTTTAGACAGCATGCCTGTCATAATTTCAAGAAGGACAGTACCTTTCAAGAAGTACAGTTGTACCACCCTAAACAAATTTTGCATGTGTTATTATTTTATAAAATCTCTAGAATATATTAGAAACAACTGAACTGAAACTATCCTTTTTACAAAAGCTGGGATATGTAAAAAGAGGAAAATAAAAATTAGTCACAACCACTTTACTAATTTAACGATTTTTTTGCACATTGTTTGGAAAAGTGATGTGCAATATTCCCAATTTTAGACAAAACAATGTGCAAATTGCATATTGCACACTGTTAATTCGAACCCTGCATGGGTGACCCTAACAAATGATAAGATGTTTTGTAGTACTTGTTTACACA